CCTCCTCCTCCTCCTCCTCCTCCTCCTCATACTCGTCTGACTCCGCCTCCGCCTCCACCTCCGCCTCCGCCTCCACCACTCGTTCTATCTCCTCTTACCTCCTTTCCTCTCCATCCCACCAAAACGCTTTCCACCCCATCCCCCAACTCTCATCCACGTCATCCACCCTCCTCCACCTCAACCACCACCCCAACTTCATGATAAATGCACTTTCATCCACGGATGCGACACTTTGATCAATCCCCCTTCTCCTTTTGCACAATCCTACCGCTCTCAACACGGAACCTCACGGACGGAAGTGGTCGCACGCGCCTCCCCACACCAGTGATTTCACCACCCTTTTCCGCTACTCTCTCAACCATCCCTCCACAACTGCACTCCACCCTTTCCAACATCCACCTCCACCTCCACCTCAACCTCAACCCCCACTCCTACTTCTCCTCCACACACACACACACACACCACAGAGGCACACCACACCTCTCAGTCCAAGTGTCATCACCGCAAATGCCACCACCTCCTCACCTCACTTGCATAACAACACAATCTGAGCTGTCGCTACACATCACTCCACCCCAAACCCTCACTCATTCCCCCACTCACCTGCATTCCGCTCCCACTCACCCGCATCCTCTATTTCCACACACAATCCCAACCAACAGCCACTGTGAAGGCAATGGCAAGCCACGATTGGGCCTCACACTCACACGCATCATCGTCCACTTTGCACCCACTCATTCACCGTCACCACCCCCACCTCCACCCTCCCTTCACCTGCATGCTACCTGACTCCGTGGTTCTGTCTGTGTCGAGGTGCGTGTCCCCACTGTGCCATCCCTCATTGCCACAGTCCATCTTCACCCACCACGTCGAAGGTCCGCACTTCCATTCCACTCACTCGTCTTCTCACGTCCATCACGCCTGGTGCAGTGTTTGCATGCCTCGTGGACTGCTAAGGTGGCCGGTAGGAAGGAATGCCAACTTCAAAGGGAGTTGCAATGTGGTCTAGACATCCCAATTGGACCGACTCGACTACCGTAGAGCGTTTGCAAATCAAGGAGGCGGGCAGGTGACTAATCCCTCCATATGCTCCCTCTTATCTGCACATAAAAGGTCGGCATGTGGGTTGCCGTCTAATGAGGCAGAAATAGGTAGCTGCGGTGCATAGGATATCCTGTTTGCCTAACCCTCTTCGTCTTTTAACTATAGTGTAAAAATTTGCACCTAAATAAATTTTTATGCAGCAGGTTGATTCAACTCAGGTTATTCATTAATGAATGGTTGCCTTGTACAAATCTGATACTCCCTTAGTTATCATTTACCTCTACTGGGTGCGTTCTTCAAAGCCGAACATCCCTTTAACATTGACAGGCACAACATCCCTCTTTAAAAGCGTGGAATTTGCACTTCTATGTCTACAACTAGCTTGTTCGATGAAGTCTCAAGTCCAAGACAAATTCTTGCGAGGAGCAATTACTTCTTTGTAATCAGTTTCTCAGTTTGACAGTCCAGCCAAGCGATAGATTGTACCGCATTCCCCTCTTCTACAAGAAGCATTTGCTTAACAAAACAATTCCCCTCCCCTTGTGCTGTTCACTGCTGTCCAACACATCATAAAAATTGAAAGTATTTTTCTCTCATTTTGTCCTCATGCTCAACGGCATTAACTGCTTGTACCGGTGTTTGTGTGCGTACCACCGACAAACAGTGTCAACAGAATCTGATTTTTATTAGGGAATTTTCAATGCTCTTCCGCCAATCAGAATGCAGCGCTACTTCCCCTGTTTGCAGCCATCGGTTGATAGGCAGATGGCAAAAACAAAGTGAGAGAGAGAAAGAAGAAGAGGAAGAGAGAGCGGGAGAGGCATTTGTGCTTTTTAGGCGGATGGAAGTGGTTGTTTACAAGTCGGTCTATTTTTAAGAAGAAACAACGAACGATCGAACGATTAATTGCTTTGTAAGCGTTGTAGAAGAGGATAAATATAAAATTATTCCGCTTATTCTTCATCTTTTGATGGTCACAAACTACCACTTGGGGGAAAAGGGTGTTTTATAATGCATGATTTTGGCGTAATCACAACATACAGCCACTGCCTTTGTGGGAGCCTAGCTTCTTCAAGTGCACACAGGCTTGGCTCAAAAAATTTACGATTTCTTTGCACTTGCCTACAAATTTTATGAAAAAATAGTTAGATCTACCGGCATTTGGCATAGACAAATCCCATTGGTCATTTATCGGTAACTGAATTAGGCGCTCAACTGTTAATCAATTAATTATGTTGCGCATAATCTTGGGTTGTTTACTCTCGAGATCACTTATGCATTCTTATTTTAGCATAGTCTTTTGATTTTTACGACGAATTTTTATTTTGTATCAAACATTTAAATAGAAGGAAATTCTAGTAACCTTTTCACGCTCTGCTTTTGCACGAGTTGGCAAGATCTTTGCGTTTAAAACCGCTAGTCTTTCAGCTTTTTATTACTTTATTTTAAGTAGAAAATGTTTTCTGTCGTCTGTCCTATAAAAAAAGACCATTTCTTATCCCAGCCATCAGGAGTGTGCTCCAAAAAGTGGACTTTTTGGAAGCAAGGCGTGGGTTTTTTCTGTTTTAAAATCAATGTCTATGATAGAGTGCCGACTTTTAAGAGCACGATCACCACTCAGCTGCTGTAATTAGGGAGTAAAAACAGGGCGAGAAATGAAACTAAAACGTACATCGCTTCTCTTTGGTCCATCAATAACTTTCATTCAAACATTACGGTCCAATTTTGCTGCGCAGCCGATTTCGAGCTCCGAACTCTCAGACCTTTCATTCTTCCAAAAGTAGGAAACTTAATCTGAACATAGCCACCCTTCATGGATATTTAATTGTTTCAAATGTCATGCGTAGAAATTTAATTCGTCTGCCTATGCTCAACTAAAGCATTCAAAGTTCATTTTATGCATTGAAGTGCGTTTTAATTGGTCTTTGCATGTTTGATCATGCATTCCCTCCCCTTCACATTCTTATGTCTTGATTCACACCTATACTGTCACATTTTTCACACCCTCTCGAAGGTGGGTGATTTAAATGAGGTCCAAATGTCGCCCGTCAAGGTCACCTGGGTTCGGTTAAACACCATTTATTAAGCTGGTACTTGAAACTGTGGCTAGGTGTTAAGACTGAAGCACAAAGTTTCCAGCAAACGCCTCTACAGAATCGACTGTAAAGTAGGTGATATTCCACTCAACAGGCAATCCTCTCGATTTCATCGTAGGATGAACTTGAGCGGGAAGTTGCAAGTGACTTTCGAACTGAAAGTTTACATTTAGCTGTGCATGCACTGTACAACTAAAGTTGTTTGCTTAATTAATTTTTTCGTCACGCGGAAAGTTAAAGCCCCATCAGTGTACTTTTATGCGGTACTGGCAGTCGCTTTGTGGTCCCTCCGAAAGCAGTACACCACTTTATGAAATAATTTGCATGCAAAAAAACAGTCGATGTCTGATTCCGGAGGAGATTAAGGCGAACTTTTGACAAACATAAAACGAAAATGAAAGGCAAATCCAACACTTAAAGAAGTTATTAGCCGAATAACTGTATATTTTACTGATAGGGTTTCCAATAAATTCTGCTTCCTTTAGCATAAATTCCAAATAGGAGCACATCGTATAGAATTAATTTTAAATTGCTATGGGAAGGAAAATAACACGCAGTCGTTTACTACGAAGTTGGCCTCAAAAACTTTCTCGGGATGGCATTGATGAAAGAGGTTTGTGAAGATTAATTTTCGAAGCACGATGCATTATCAGAGATTTTGCAAAGCAAAAACAATTTTGAATGGTGTTCGATCGACTTATATGACTAATCATATAATTTACACAAATAATACTACTTATATCGAATTCAGCATGGGCAGAAGTAGTACCTTACTGTTTTAGCTCGATCAGGAAGATCAGGTTAAAGTGAGCCACTGTAAAGCGATTCTATGAGAAGAGACACGTGTAACTACGAAGGTGAAAGCACTAAAGTTCATCAGTGGAGGCATAAATGATCAGCAGGATTCGTGGATGGCATTGTAGGTCATCAGTAATGATTTTGCACGTCAATCAAACCTGCCAAATGCACTAATCCACTTTTTTGTTGCTGTTGCTGCTGTTTGTGCGATTGCAGCTGCTGTTGACGATTCTTTGGTCCAAATGGGTCTTACCAATGCGATGAAAGTAAGAGTTGAAGTGAAGACGTGGAGATGGTGAAAGGAAGGAGGCGGATGGAATAGGTGTGCTAGCGTTGGTGTAGTTGGTATTGGTTACTGGTGAATTTTCCCACTTAGTACAAATGTCACTTTAACCCAATGGATTGTATTTGTTCTGGCAAATTGGTATGATTGTGGCCGATAGTGATTGGCAGTTAATTAAGTGCTGAGGTGTGTGTCTGCTACCAAAGTTCTGTATGGCAGAAAAAGGATGTGGATTAGCATTGTCCATTGAAGGCGACAGTGAATGTTTTATTCAATAATCTAGTCAAACGAGATGAGGAATGGCTTAAATTCAGATCGCATAGAGATGCTGCCTCATAAACAGCTCGTAAGAAATGCTTGGACATTGTGAATGAAGGAGTCGTCGAAGTGTGGGGAAAAGAAAAAAGCACTTCATAAATGGCACCACGAGACTATGCTGTGTGTGTAGTTGTGAGTGTTTGCGAGTGAAGCAGAGGGCCATTGAAGTGAAGATTGGATTGAGGTCAGTCTGGACGGCGAGTAGTGAGGACCACCTTGTTCATGCTGAAGGCGAGGTGGCGAGTTGTGAGTTGTCGATTGGGAATGGTGGATGCGAGGAGATTGGGTTGTGATGGGACGAGGGTGAGTGCATAAGTGGTTGAGTGTTCATTGGAAAGATGGGCAAAAGGAGGGGATGAGGAAAGTGGATTGGAGATGGGAGGAAAGCACAGACGAGGCGAGCCGAGGCGAGGCGAGGAGAGGAGAGGAGAGGAGTGAAGAAGTTGGTGTGGTGGCGATTTTGTGTAGGCACGGAGCATGTGATGAGTAGTGGTTGGTGAGGCAAATCACGTCATGATGTGCTTGCTAATTGACAGTGGAGTAGGTGTGTGTGACGGAATGGGTGTAGTTAGCGTCGCTGCAAATGACACGGATGGATGGGTTGGTGGTGTGGAGAAACGGAGTCGGTGGAGGCAGTGGAAGGGAGGGAGCACAGGAAGGAGTTGAGTTGAGTAGGTGAATGGGTGAGTGAACAGACTGGTAGGTGGTTAGAGAA